ACACACACACACACACACACACACACACACACACACAGAGAGAGAGAGAGAGAGAGAGAGAGAGAGAGAGAGAGAGAGAGAGAGAGAGAGAGAGAAGGATCATGGCGAAAGTACTTGACGAGAACTACTTAGCCATCACTGCAATAGTGACGATCGCTTATCAGATGTCCTTCTTCATCATCGCTGCAACTTGCAAGTTCGACAAAGTAACCGACTTCGCGGGTGGTACGAACTACGTGATTCTGGCCGTGCTGACTCTGTTCCTGAATTGGGAGCACTCCTATGTGCGCAAAGTCATCATGACCTCGATGGTGGTCATTTGGGGACTCAGGCTGTCTATCTTCCTGTTGCGCCGTATCTTGCAGTGGGGGGAGGACCGAAGGTTCGACGACAAAAGGGCTAATCTTCTCAAATTCGCTGTTTTCTGGATTTTCCAGGCGATCTGGGTCTGGACTGTCAGTCTGCCTGTCACCATCGTTAATGCCGCAGATTGGCACCCCGCCATCGGTGCCGTTGACGTCCTCGGCTGGGTCATCTGGGCGGTGGGGCTGGCGATCGAGGCCATCTCCGACCAGCAGAAGCTGTCGTTCAAGAGCGATCCCGACACGCGATCGCGATGGTGTGCGGTCGGGCTCTGGAGGTACTCCAGACACCCCAACTACTTCGGCGAAATCCTGTTATGGTGGGGTGTGTTTCTGGCCAGCACCCCTGTTTTGCAAAAGGACCAGTTTGTTGCCGTTTTCGGACCCCTCTTTGTCACAGTCATTCTCCTCTTCGTCAGTGGCATACCCATGCTTGAAGCCTCTTCAGACAGCAAACATGGGAGGAACACCGAGTACCTCGAGTACAAGCGCAAAACCAGCCCGTTGATCCTGATGCCCACCAGCATCTACGGCAGATTGCCCGACTGGGTAAAGCTCGTCTTTTTCTTTGAGTTCCCCATCTATAACAACATCAATTAGATCAGGAGGGGAAAAAAAAAATAAAAAAATCAATTAGATCAGAAAAACCAACTAGCCCGTAGCTAAGTTGGTAAAAAAAAAAAAAAAAAAAAAAAAGCAGTTAGTACAACCCCCTTGAACGAAAACTGTGGAAGTACAGACCTGAGTTCGAGAACTCCACTGGAAGCAGATGAGTGAGAAATACTAGAATTCTAGTATTCTGAATTACCTAGGGCTGGTCAGTTGGATGATCATATCTCAAGGCCGTCGCCCTTT